AGAGAGAGAGAAACACAGTCAAAGATGAAAGCTTTGCTTGGGCGGGTTAAAGAAAACAGAGCAACAGATAGAAACGGGGACAGAAACGCACAGGAAAAATGGACAGAGAAGTCGTCTGTACAGTAGATGTCCACTCTCTGTGAAGATTGTTTCTCTGATATCCACGAGATGTTCAGGATTTTTGTCATGAAACGGATCTGAAACTCATCGTACGTGTGATGTAGTTGTCTACGTAACACCGCATGCCCTCTCTCCCTTCCACTACCTTATGTCCATGATCTGTCTTCACAACTCATTCCCGCGGTGCAGCAGGGCTGCGTCTCTTAAGCTTGTCATGTTACATTGTTTGAAAAAGAAAACGATGTGAAAGAAAGACAACATTGAAGTTCAGAATAAGGGCGAGGCATCGACGACCCTCATCAGACTTATCTCCCATGTATGTGTGCATCCAGCGCCTTGCAACTCAGTCAGTGCTGTTGCATCTCTCTTCTTTTGGCCCCACATCCATCATCATCATCATCATCTGTCAACGACCATCGCCTGTCTTCAACAGCATTCTACATAATTGGGGACATCCACCAAATTTTTTGGAATGACACACACACACAGAGAGAGAGAGAGAGAGAGAGAGAGAGAGAGAGAGAGAGAGAGAGAGAGAGAGAGAGAGAGAGAGAGAGAGAGACTTGCAACAATAGACAACGTGTGCGAGGTTTTACTTTCGCAGTATACACGTCCTGTCCATGGCATGCGACACCTGTCGCGATTACCCTTCTACCTCACTGCTCAGGTAATGCTTTCAGCCACCGTCCCTGAATTTATACCCTATCATCCTTATCCTTCCCACCTGCTTGTCCTCAATCCCTGCAGTGTCCTCATCATCGTTGCCTCTGAGTTCTCCATAGTCACACTCTGTAATGCCCTTGTCGTCGTTGGTTTCCCGTGGTCGTCGATTTGCTGCATATACGCGTTTCTTTTCTTTGTTGCTTTTATCTTTTATTGTTTTTTTTTTCCTGATTTTATATCATTTTTCGATTGGTGTTTCTTCTGCTTCCAGACACTCTCGGAATTTACTCCGGACTTCAGTGTCTTTGCAATTTCTGATGAGTGCCAAAATCGTCCTGCGGGTTATCCTCCATGGGTCGTCCATCTGCCGGAGTTCCCTACAAAACAGCTTCATTACCGCGGTCAGGTCTGCGACATCATAGGTGTTCGCTACCATTCTGTGAAACGTGCCAATTATCGTCAGTACCTCTGTTTTCTCGGAACCCGCACTCCTGAAG